AGTCTGCATTCCCATCAGCAGTGCACAAAGGTTCCTTTTTTCCCCACATCCTCGCCAGCACTTGTCATTGTTGATTTGTTGATGTTAGCCATTCTGACAGGTGTGAGATTGTATTGCATTATCATTTTGATTTGCATCTCTCGGATGATTAGTGACTTTGAGCATGTTTTCATATGTCTCTTGGCCTTTCTTATATCCTCTTTCGAAAAGTATCTATTGAAGAGAGTGTCGGAAGTATTTGGAAACGTAGCAGCTTTCATATTTTAAGTTGGGTGGAGAAAGAGGGAAGCAGAGAATAATTGTATTCTGGATTGCTTTCCATGTGTGCAGACAACCAAGCGAGGTGATGCTCATGAGTTAAGAAACATATTCCTACAGTATGCCAGTACTGAAGTTGATGGAGAACATTACATGACCCTGGAAGACTTTGTCCAGCGCTATCTTGGACTGTATATGACCCAGATAGCAATCCGAAGATTGTTCAGCTCTTGGCAGGAGTAGCTGATCAAACCAAGGATAGGTTGATCTCCTATCAAGAGTTTTTGGCATTTGAATGTTTCATGTGCTCCAGATTCCATGTTCATAGTGGCTTTCCAATTGTTTGACAAGAGTGGAAATGGAGAGGTGGCATTTGAAAATGTCAAAGAAATTTTTGGACAGACTGTTATTCATCATCATAATTTCTAGTTTGTTTTCCATTCTGGAAGGAAAAGGTATTTGCTGATAAAGAGGTATCACAAGACCAAGTGCCAACACCGTTGGATAAGAGGTCCTTTGGAAAAGATGCTTGTCAGTGGATGCCAGAGGACAGGCTGAGACTCGCGGTGCTGATGTGTTTCCATTGGGTGAAATCCTCCTCTGTTCATCGATCCAAAGGCATTTCCTGGACAGCTCCTCTGCCATTGTGTTCCTGGAGACAGGCATCTCCAGCTCTACTGGCTTAGTTTTGCCTTCCTCTCACACAGCAAGGGCCTCGCTGTCAAAACAGTAAAGGATGCTTTGGCAATTTTCCTCATATGGATATGATTCCAGTAAAAAATGAAATAACAAAATATGTGTCTGGGGGTGGGGAGTATCTATTGAGGTCCCTTGCCCATTTTTTATTGGGTTATTTATCTTTCTTTTGTTAAGTTGTATGAGTACTGGATTCACTGTGCCCCGTAGATTTTGGATTGTTGTGTTTTCATTGTCATTCATTTCCAAGATTTTTTTAATTTCTTCTTTGACCTCTTTGGAAACCCAGTCATTATTTAACAGCATGCTATTCAGCTTCCAAGTGTTTTAATTGTTTGATTTTTTATTGTAGTTTATTTCTAATATTATGCCATCGTGGTCTGAGAATATGCTTGATATGATTTCAATCTCCTTGAATTTGGAGAGGCTTTGCCTGTGACCCAATATGTGATCTATCTTTGAAAATGTTCCATGTGCACTTGAGAAGAATGTATATTTTGTGGCTTTGGGGTGAAATGTTCTGAAGTTGTCAATTCCATCTGATCTAGTGAGTCATTTAGGATTGCTGGTTTTTTTTTTTGGGGGGGGGGGGTTGCTGATTTTTTGTCTAGAGGATTTTTCCAGTGATGTCAATGGGGTATTAAAGTCCCCTACTGTGGTTGTATTGTTGTTGATCTCTCCCTTGATATCTTCCAGGAGTTTTTTTTATTTATTTGAGTTTTCCTGCATTGGGTGCATATATATTTACCATCTTGTTATATCATCTTGTTGTATTGATCTCTTTAGTATTATGAAGTGGCCTTCCTTATCTCCTATTATGGCCTTCACTTTGAGGTCTATTTTGTCCGATATAAGTATTGCTACCCTGCTTTTTTTTTATTTCCATTTTCCTGAAAGATATTTTTCCATCCCTTCACTTTCAGTCTGTGTGAATCCCTTGTTCTGAGGTAGTTTTTTGTTTTTTGTTTTGTTTTGTTTTGTTTTATCCATTCTAGCTGAGCTTTTTGATAACAGATAACTGATTCCTTATACAACTTGTGTGATTCAATGGTTTTGCTTATAAATCTTGCTTAAATATATGTTTCCATGGTTTCTTAAACAGAACTCATATAATTTCACCTTTATTATCAGTTATTTATGCCATGTAGCAAAGTAGTGATACCTTTTAATACAGTTTACAGAATCAGTTCTCATTATCCAAAATGATCCTTGCTGCTGTGATTTTCCAGTTCTCTTTGTTGTCAGTCTGATAATTATCTTCTTTTAATGACAGTTTGAGAACTTTGATATGCCTGTGTAATATCTTATTTGCTTAAACTTTTCCTGCCATAGTTGGTTTGGCTTAGTGGATAGAGTGCTGGTCTGCTGACTGAAGGGTTCCAGGTTCGATTCTGGCCAAGGGCATATGCCTGGGTTGCGGGCTCGATCCCCAGTATGGGGCATGCAGGAGGCAGCCAATCAATGATTCTCTCTCATCATTGATGTTTCTATCTCTGCTTCCCTTACCCTTCCTCTCTGAAATCAGTTTTTTAAAAAAATTCTTTAGATAAAAGGATTTGTACAAAAAATGTGAATAAATAAAAGAGTGAAGCATTCTGTTAAATATAGTATGTCAGTTCTTTTAAAAATATGTATATTTTTATTAATTTTATGTTTATTTTTATCAATACAGTATTATCAACTTTAGTCACCATGTTATACCCCAGACCCTCAAACCTTATTCATCTTATAGCTGAAAGTTTATGCTCTTTAACCTCTCCCTATTTCCCCCACTCTCCAGCTATAAAAGTGGTTCTCCCTGCGAATCACTTTTTTACTGTTTCTATAAATTTGACCTTTTATTTTGAGTTCACATATAAGTGATACTATGCAGTATTTGTTTTTCTCTGTCTGGCTTATTTCACCTAGCATAATTCCCTCAAGGTCCATTCATCTTGTCACCAAAAAAAAAAAAAAAAAAAAAAAAGGATTTCCTCTCTTCTCATGGCTGAATAATATTCTATTGTATATAATATTCTGTTGTATATAATATTCTGTTGTATAGTACACATACACACCACCACCACCACCACATTTTTATCCAATTATTCATTGACAGAGACTTATGTTGCCTCCAAATCTTGGCTATTGTGCATAGTGTTCCAATGAACATGAGAGTGCAGATATCTCTTCAGGATTCCGTTTTTATTTACTTTGGATATATATCTAGAAGAGGGATACTAATCATATGATAGTAATGCTTTTAATTTTTTTTTTTTTTTTGAGGACGCTCCATACTGTTTTCAATAGTGCCTGTACTAATTTACATTCTTTTTTTTTTAATATATATTTTATTGATTTTATACAGAGAGAAAGGGAAAGAGATAGAGAGTTAGAAACATCGATGAGAGAGAGTCATTGATCAGCTGCCTCTTGCACACCCCCTATTGGGGATATGCCCGCAACCAAGGTACATGCCCTTGACCGGAATCGAACTCGGGACCCTTCAGTCCCCAAGCTGACGCTCTATCCATTGAGCCAAACCGGTCCGGCCTAATTTACATTCTTACCAGCAGTGCACAATGGTTCCCTTTGGACCTGTCAGCTGGTGCAGGCGGGCCCCCCCTTCCCCCCCCCCCCCCCCCGACCCTGTCAGCATGTGGTAGCAGCAGCAGTTGGAGTGGGGCTTCAGGCAGACAGGGGACCCAGAGCCACAGCAGAAGGGGCTGGGCAGAGGCGCAGAGGATGAGCCAAGACCCACTACTGTGCCCACTGCAGCCTTGCAGACCACAGTTCCTTTCAAGGTGCACGAATTCGTGCCCTGGGGTCCTAGTTATTTATAATAGCCAAGATTTGGAAGCAGCACAAGTGTCCATCAGTAGATGAATGGATAAAAAAGCTGTGGAGCATTTACACAGTTAAATACTACTCAGCCATAAAAAAGAAGGAAATTTTACATTTTGCAACAGCATGGATGGGTCTGGAGAGTATTATAGTAAGTGAAATAAACCAGAGAAAGACAAATACCATATTTCAATGTGGAATCTAATGAACAAAATAAATAAACAAGCAAAATAGAAATAGACTTATAGATACAGAAAACAGACTGATATCTGTCAGAGGAGAGGGACTTTGAGAGACTGGGTGAAAAAGATGAAGGGGATTAAGCAAAAAACAACAATTTATTGACACAGATAACAGTATGGTGATTACAAGAGAGAAAGAAGATGGAGGGACATAAAAGGGCAAAGGAGGATAAATGGTGATGGAAAAATACTTGACTTTGGGTAGTGAACACACAAAATAATACAAATTAATTTAAAAGAACAGAGAAGCAACATGATAGCTTAAGGAAGTATATGCGATCAAGAGAAGGTAATTTATTTTCTAAGATGGGAAAAAAATATGGCATATTTGTATGCTGGTGGGAATTATCCAACTGAGAGGGAAAATTTGATGATGAGAGGAGCTACACCTTTGATAAGAAAGAGGGGGATCTTATGCACAAGAGGCGGGTATTTGTCATTAGAGACACAGACAGCCCATCTCTAATAGCTGGAGGGAAAATATACAGACACAAATGCAGAGAGATGGTTAAATATGGGAAGAGCAGGTTGTGGAAGTTTTGATTGTTTCTGTCATAGGAAGCAAGGTTATTAGCTCTGTTTGAGAACAAAGAACATGTATTGAAAATTTGGAAAAGTGTAGAAAGTATGAAATAATTACCTAGGAGAGAAAAATAGGAAATGAACTATGCAATTGACTGAAGGAAGCTTCAAAGTTAAAATGAATCCAATCAGGTTGAATGTGTATTTTTCTGAGCTTCACATTCAGCTAGCTGGGATGTAGACATGGAAATCAAGAAAAAGGTGAATATAATTAGTGTTGGAATTTTGTCAGGTGAATATACAGTAATGTGAAATAGGGGCAAAGGAGTGACTAAAATGACAAATGATGGATTTTATGCTTACTGGTATGTAGTGTCCGATACTTTAAACTGGAATGAGAGTGCTTACCAGTTTCTGAAGTGGCTATACTAAGTATTTTGATGGATTGATTTTTTTTAGGTTCATGATTACAAAGAAGGAACCCCAGTAGAGAAGACCTACTATATAGAATTATGGGATGTTGGAGGTTCTGTGGGCAGTGCCAGCAGTGTGAAAAGCACAAGAGCAGTATTCTACAACTCTATAAATGGTAAAGCATGTTTTATTTCTACCATGTATTAACTGTCCAAGAGTACAGATCCTCTGATATGGAGTGCTGTGGGATGCTGGACTCACCTTAATTTACAAAAGGTTTACTCACAACTCTTAATTTAAATAAGCATATTGCATTCCAGTTTGTGTTTCTAGATTCTAACCATGTAATTCAGAACATTAAATATTTACTCTGTCTAGTGTTTCTATTTATATTATTGTCATAAACTAAATATTGAGAAATAAAATTGTATTTGGGAAACTTGACATAAAACATGGAACTTTCAAAACACTGTCCCTTAGGATTGCTATTTCTCTAGTCATTTGGGTAAATACAATAGAACTGTTAGGAATCCCATAGGTAAGCCAGATGTCACAGAAATAAAAACCTTTCTTTCATCTTATCTTAGGGAGAGTCCTATGTAATTAATTATATAGAGATGCTTAAGGGGTGCAAAAAATTCCTCCAGGTATAGAGATTCAAATACCTCGAACAGATTTCCAGATGGAGGCGTGTGATAGAGGTCATATCGATACTTGCAATTCATAGAGGGCCTCCTCTATGTCAAGAGACTAAACCACTGACACCTGTGATTTACCTATAGAGTTTTTTGTTGTTGTTGTTGTTGTTTTTATCTTCTTCTCTTTTTTAAATGCATTTTTAAATCTTTTACTATGAAGTATAATTTCAACTTGTCTTTGATGGATGTACCAAAAGATTTGGCATCTCACCTCTTCCCTCCTGGTGTATGCTTAGCTAATATTCATTTAAACTCATTAACTATTAGGTAAGCACTGAAATTACTAAGTACTTTCTTCATTCCTTATGTTCCTCTTTCTCTATCTTATCTTTCCATGTCATAAGCTGTTGTGGATGCTATTATAAAAAAATGGGGAGGGAGAAGAAGCTTTTGTCACTGGATATAAACTATAGAATATAAGATATCGACCTTAGAATATTGTCCAAAAGTGTCCTAATGTACCTGAAGAAAAAAAAAAAATGAAACAAAAGAGTTATAAATTGTCATGCAAGAAAGAACATGATAATGGCATATATTAAAAGAATAAATATAAGTGAAAAAAGAAAAGAAAAAAAACACCAGTAAGATACTCATAGATTTCTTAGAAAAGAAAAAGAAAAGAAAAGAACTAGAATCAAGTGATAAAACTTGGTTTATATCAGCCAAATGACTTTGTCAAAATTGATAATCTGATCTGGCAAAGAAAAGTTTAGATATATAACACTTTTGAACTTCTGTTTAGATCTTTTTGAAAAAAAGTTAAGAGCAAAATAAATGTAAAGGTAAAAATTATAAGTAATAAATTTAAAAACTATTTAAAACCTAGAGATTTTATGGAATTGAGTCATGAACTTAGTAAGTGCTAAAGAAGAAAGCCATCTAAACCCACTTATTTGACTGTTTTTTCTATACCTGCTATTCATTAATCATTTGTCTCTTCCTTGAATATTACTGAAGTAATTGCATATATTTTGTTAGTTTTACAGAGAAGACTGAGACATATTTCTGTTTCTTAAAATTAAAAAAAAAAAAAAAAAAAAAAAGTCCCTTTAGCCCTGGCCACGTGGCTCAGTTGATTGAATTGTCATCCCATACACCAAAAGGTTGTGGGTTTGATTCCTGGTCAGGGTATATACCTGGATTTCAGGTTCAATCCCCAGTAAAGGGGGTGAGGAAATAGGAGAGGCAGCCGATTGATGTTTTTCTTTCCCTCCCTTTCCTTGCTCTATAAAATAAATTAAGAAAAGTCTTGCCGAAACCGGTTTGGCTCAGTGGTAGAGCATCAGTCTGCGGACTGAAAGGTCCCGGGTTCGATTCTGGTCTGGGGCATGTGCGTTGGTTGCGGGCACATCCCCGGTAGGGGGTGTGCAAGAGGCAGCTGGTCGATGTTTCTCTCTCATCGACGTTTCTAGCTCTCTATCTCTCTCTCTTCCTCTCTGTAAAAATCAATAAAATATATTTAAAAAAAAAAAAAGAAAGAAAAACTCTTAAAAACACACACACAAATGCGTAGTCTTTATTCTTAGTAATAACATTTTTCCCTCAAGAGCCTACCTTCTTCCCACTGTGATAAACTATACTGATAATCCCCAAAGAAAATCTCTAAAGTGTGTCTACCTCTTTCTCTTTTAAGATTAGAATATACTCTGATCAGCTGTCAACCTGATTTGCTCTGGGCCCCAGAGTGACCCTCCTAGCTCATGCAAACAGGAATTCTCAACCCAAATGAAAGATGGAGAATAAGGAAAAAGAATGCCCAAATGCCTTTAAAATTTCACGAGCCTTAAATAGAAACCTTTAAAAAATGAACTTCTTCCAGTCCATCTAATAGCTCATCTAAGCCTTTGTAATCTTTCCACTTTCCCAACCAAAAGTCTCATCCATAGCTTTTTGATATTTATACCTGGGGAATAGGGAGAACAAAAAATATCCGCCACTCCTGTGCCTAAAGTAAGACTTTATTCTCTTTTCCTCAGTCTTTTACTGTCAAATTAACTGAGTTCAAGGCAAGTTACTCAACCTCTCTGAGCCTCAGTTTCCACATGTGTAAAATAAAGGTAATTCCTACTTCATAGAACTATTCTGAAAATCAAATTAGACTATACTGGTAAAGTATAATATGTAGCATATAAGTGATAAATAAATGTTAGCTTTATATATATATTTTTTTAATTGATTGCAGAGAGGAAGGGAGAGAGAGAAAGAGAAACATCAGTGATGAGAGAGAATCATTGATAGGTTGCCTCCTGCATGCCCCCCCATTGGGGCTCAAGCCCACAACCCAGGCATGTGCCCTGACTGAGAATTGAACCAGGACACTCAGCCATTCCAGACAGCCAGCTCTGCTTTTTAATAGTAGCTCTTTATTCCTTTTTAAAAATCATCTTTAATTATGTGTCCTTGATGCCTAATAGAACACCTCATTGAGGAAGGTAGAGTGAATGCAGTTGGATATGGGGACAATTGTCAGATCTCTATTTATTCCAGATGCCAGGAAAGAGAACAGATTTATCTGAGCCAACTTGAACAAGTCAGCTATAACATGCACAAGCACCTTCATTTTACAAATGTCTGTAAAATCTAGAGAAACCAAGTAATTCTAACTCTTATGCCCTTCTTTTTTAAATCAACATGAAAATGGAGAAATTATCAGTTTTATATCCTCTCTTCACAATAGAATCTGGGTAATACAAAAGGTTTGGGGTTTGAAAAACCTAGTCTTTTGACTTCAAGATATCTTAAATTCCACGAGGTATTAAAGCTTTTCCTTTTTTATCTATAGCTTATTGGAATAATTACCTGCTTTGCTTTTCTGTCTAGGATCTTTACTGATTCTGTTTAATTGTATTTCTGAGCCTCATTACATTTTATTATTTTCTCAGTCTCTCAGAAGTTCATCTGTTTTCTATTATTCATGTCTCTTGACTATTTCTTCTTATCCCCTTCTAATGACATATTTATATTTATTTTGTTCTTTTAACTATATCTCTCAAAGAACTAAAAATTGGACTCTTGAGTTGATTAGGCAGGCCCAGGTAATCTACAGGAAAACATTTTCCAGATAAAGAATAACAATTGTATCAAATTAAATCAATACTGTTTTAATATATTTTATATAATATTTTTAGTGAAAATAAGTAATATATATATATGTATAATATCTATGACAATACTATGCAGAGTGCAAAGACAATTAGCTTTTTGAATGCATATAATTTCTTATATACTTGAAGTATTTTTTATTCTCTTTATTGATAAGGTGATTCTGCAATTAGGACCAGGCAGAGTAGGCACATGAAGTGTTGAATGAAGAAAAAAAAGAAAATGCATTCTAAAAGTTTACTGACATTTTATAGAATTTTTAAAATTTAGACTGAGAAAGAAAATTTGGTAGATTATTTGTAAACTTGTAGAAGAAATTTTAAAATAATTGTGTCTGAGTTTATTATATAGTAGATGCCCCTTGCAGGAAGATTCCTGCAGTAAGGCTTCCTTCTGCAGTCTCTGCTGCCCCACCGGCTTCTCTCCCTTTTCCCCGCCCCATCTGCTTCTCTGCCTTTTTGGCTGCCCCGCTTGCTTGCTTTTTTGCAGCTTCACCCTCTACTCCAGCGCTTGCCTTCTTTCTACACTGTCTTCAGTCTTCACTCTGGCCTGGATATGCGAATTAACCACCATTTTGGTTGGATTGATTTGCATATTTGCCCTGATTGGTTTGGTGGGCGTGGCTTATGGGTGTGGCAAAAGTGCAGTTAATTTGCATGTTTCTCTTTTATTAGAGAGGATACTACTAGAATGCTAGGTTCACTAAGCAGCTCAATGCTAGCTATTTACTGATCTCACTTTACCAATTTGGAAAGGAAGAAGAATTGTTCCTGTACTGAGATTATTTTCTCTGATTATTTTAGGTATTATTTTAGTTCATGACTTAACAAATAAAAAATCATCCCAGAACTTGTATCGTTGGTCATCTGAAGCTCTCAATAAGGATTTGGTGCCAACTGGAGTATTGGTAACAAATGGGTAAGCCCAAATTACTTCATAATTGGTTTGAACTGTTAGAGCAAGCACAAGAATGCACCCTCCAAAATAACACTTTGTAAGATGTTTGATTTGCAAATATTTTCCCCCGGTTTGTACATTGCCTTTCATTTTCCTAATGGTGACTTTCACAAAGCAATAGTTTTGCATTTTTAAAAAGTCTAATTTCTCAGTTTTTTCTTTTATATATTACTAGAGGCCTGGTGAACTACATTCATGCACTTGGTGTGGGGGGGTACCTCATCCACTCATGGTTCAGGACCCCTTGAGATTTCTAACTGATGGCTTAGGCCCCTGGGGAGCAGGCCTTAGCCAGCATTGGACATCCTTAGTACTGCTGCAGAGGTGGAAGAGGCTCTTGCCATTGCCACTGAGCTCACTAGCTGTGAGCCAGGCTTCTGGATGAGCTGCTCTCCCCTGTGGGAGTGCACTGAACACTAGGGGGCAGCTCCTGCAATGAGCGTCTGCTCCCTGGTGGTCAGTGCACGTCATGGCGACCAGTCATTCTGCTGTTTGGTCAATTTGCATATTAGCCTTTCATTATATAGAATACTTTGGGTAGGTATCATGTGTAAGAACTCTTGGCCTAATTCCAGAACATCCAGATTTTCTCCTCTATTTCTTCTAGAATTTTATAGTTTTAGGTTTTCTTTTATATCTGTACTCCTTTTTGAGTTACTTATAATGTGGAAGGTTTTAGTTGAGGGTCACTTATGCATATGAATGTCTAATTGTCCTAGCACAATCTATTGACAAGATTAGTCTTTCTCCATTGAATTGCTTTTACTCTTTTGCCAAAAATAAGTTGACCATATTTATATGGGTTTATTTCTACACTTCCTAATCCCATTCCATTGCTCTGCTTGCTTGTCCCTTCACCAATACTACAGTCTTGATTATTGTAGCATTATAGTAAGTCTTAAAATTAGATAGTGTGATTCCTTCCACATTTTTCCTTTTCAAAATTGTTTAGCTAATCTAGTTTGCCTCACAATATAAAATTGAAATCAGCTTGTCTATATTGGCAGACATTATGCTTGGATTTTTATTGTAAGTGCAATAAATCTATAAATCAAATCAGAGAAAATATTTTTTGCCTCTTCTAATCCATGAGCACAGATGTTTTACTTCAAAACATCTTCAATGATAATCCTAGTCATGATATCATTTCATCTGTGTACTTCAGTGTGTAACTTTAAAGATTAAGAACTTTTTGAACATAACCAAAATGTAATCGTCATACTTAAAATTAACAACAATCCTTTAATATAGAATATTATTTTAATTTATACAAACATCCTATAAATATTGGTTTATTCAAATCTGTATCTAAGGTCCAATCATTGTATTTGCTTTCTTGTCATCTTAACTTTCCTTTCCTTTTTTAATTTTTCTCTTTTACCCTCTAGTAGTTTATTTTTTGAAAAAAAAAAAAAAGATGGCTTGTCTTGTAGAATTTTCTGTATTCTGGATTTTGCTGATTGCATGCTGATAATAGCTGTTAAATTTATTTCTCTAAATCTTCTCTAAAATGGTAGTTAAGTATAGCGATCTGAAATATACAACTTTTTTGTTTTTGCCAAAATTAAATTGTATGTAAGATTTAATGAAAGAGAGAAAAAATGGAAGCCAAAAAGAGATATGAGAACAAATTATATGTATATTTCAACATGTATGTGTTATGATACATATCCTATATAATAAAAGGGTAATATGCAAATCAATTGATCGGCAGAACGACCGATCACTATGACAAATACTGATCACCAGGGGGCAGATGCTCAACTCAGGAACTTCCCTCTGGTGGTCATTGTGCTCCAGCAGGGGGAGCTCCGCGCAGCCAGAAGCTGGGCTGATGTCTGGCAAGTGCAGCGCGGAGGTGGCAGGAGTTTCTCCCAGCTCCACTGCAGTGCTAAAAATGTCCGACTGACCAATCAGGCCATCAGTTGGACATCCCCCGAGGGCTCTCAGACTGCAAAAGGGCACAGGCCTGGCTGAGGAAACCCACCCCCCCACCCATGAGTGAATGAATGTTGTGCATCACGCCTCTAGTATAATACATATGTTAATGTATAACACATGTGCAGCATATGTTATATTACATATGTAATATATGTGTTGATTTGTAAGAGATTATGCAAGAGTACAAGTGGCAGAAATTTATGTGTATCAAAGATGATGTTGGATGAACTAAATACAAAAATTTGATACGTATGAGTACAGGAAAAGAAAATAGTCCTAACGGAGGACACTCTCAATGCTTTATTATCTAATAAAGCAGATTTTAGTTTTTGGACAATTTCTTCTAAATCAGGCATGATATTGGCAAAAAGAATCAAAGGCCTTGAACTCAAGCTATTATTGGCTTTGATGCAATAAATAGAATGGTGATATTTTTATGAAATGGGAATTAATAGTTCAAAACAATTGTGTTACAAGACTGAATAGTAACAGGTTCTGCAAGATTATTGTGAAAGGCAAAAATAATTAAATAATTTTGTACACACACCCCTAATTAAGATTATTCAAAGAGAAAGGAAAATAATATCAAAGGAAGAAAAACAGCTATGCTCAACTGGGTTGTATTGATTGGATTGTGCAATATTGATTTACTGTCATCAGTTGTTTGAAATCAGATTTTGCTGACCATTGTAAATTGAGCTTATAACGTGTCAAAAATCCAAACCTTTTATTTCTCCTATGTGAATAGAATTTAAATTAATTCAATAACTTTGGGCTCTATGTTCCTTTTAGTTATAGAATGAATACCACTCTATCCTTTGGATAGAAATAGAAAGAAAAAAAAAAGAATTGTAATGCTGGTGCAATTGTTATTTTACCAACAAAGAGAGGTAACTAGCCCAAGGTTATACAATGACCCTGAGGGATTTGTATTGCCTGTCCTCTTTCTGCCTGTCCTCTGTCTCCCACAGTTCTCATATCAGGACAAACAACTATTTGGTACTCAGTTCTTTCCTTTTACTATTCATTTTGTGGTTTAAGCTGTTTCTTCCCTTTCCATATGTTGAAACTATCTTTATGGTTGACTTATTCTGACCTTAGCATCCCTATTTCCTGTTTTCCTTGAACAATCTATTTTCATTGTAATTCATAGACAGAAATATATATGGTAGTATAGTTTATTTTTAGCCTTGCAAATACCCAGAAGCTTGTCATTTTATCCTCTAACACAAGGCTTGAGTGCCATGCTAGTTTCCAGGGTTTTCTTTCCACTGAGGTTTGAATCCACTCTCTGCATCTATACAGCAAAGTTCCTGAGCCTTAGAAGGTAGAGCTCTGGGAGAAGTCAACTCAACCTACCTTGTACACCTGGTAGGCACTCAGTTATTCGAGTGGTCTATAAAGACTTATGGGGACAAATTTTGAGTAGTTAGATGAAAGTTGGAACTCTGTAGATGGTGAGGATGGATTGTTAAATAAACAAGCAGATGGAAGAGATTAGGAGAAAAATAGGTTTATAGGTGATAGGTGAGCAAGAGTCAGTGAATGATCAGTAAAATAGTATAAGCTAGTTGCATTTAAATATTACACATCTACATCAAAAAGGTAAATTCTCTTCACCTCTTCGTTATTTATCACAGGGAATATGACCAGGAACAGTTTGCTGAAAACCAAATCCCACTGTTGGTAATAGGGACTAAACTGGATCAGATTCATGAAACCAAACGCCATGAAGTTTTAACTAGGACTGCTTTCCTGGCTGAGGATTTCAATGCAGAAGAGATTAATTTGGTGTGTATTTTCATTAATGCATGTTTTTTGTATTATTGTCTGTTGAAAGTGAACCTGAACACTTTACCAGTCATATATTCTCACAAAAGCAGCTTTATACTTGAAGTCAGGCTATTTTGGTTCTACTCCAAAATATGGTGCAAAATGGAATCAACATAGACTGTCAGATGGGTAGTCACTTCAGTCTCCTTATATGCTGGTCTGGAATGTTTAAACTTTGTTCTGTGAACACTGTAAAAATCGTGGGCTTTTTCTTTAACAGATTTTTAAAAATCACACCAAAATCAAAATAAGTAAATTGAGGTGACAAAAGTTACTGATACTGTACCTTAGATTATTCTTGCTTTAGAAAAGCCTCTTAGCTTCTTAAATTACAGAATTTACCATAAAGAGCAAACAACTAGACAAGTGAAAAAATTACAAGCTATAAACTAGGAGTGCCTCAGGGCATTAGTTTCTATACTCATGTATATATGGGCGATTGAATCCCTTCCTGAGATATTTAACTCAATTAGAACTTGGTGCTAAAAAGACTAAGAAAAGTCCTCATATAAACCAGTTGGTGTTGCCCAGACAAAGATATGTCCTTGCTCACAAGTAGGTTTTGTGCAGCATATACGGTGTGCAGGCATTCAGACTTGTGTTGGTCATAGTGGGTTAATAATAGCAGTTGCTACCATTTATTATTTACATGCCGAGCACTGTTTTACTTATTTACATAAGTTATCTCACATCCATTCTCTTCATATCATCTCTATAAAGAAGGCATTATTATCCCCATTTTAAAGATGAAGACTAGTTGCAGAGAGAGGTAACTAAGTCAAAGTTACCCAGTCAAAGCAGGCACTCTGACTTCAGAACCTGTGCTGTACAATTAACGCTTTTTTCCACTTAATTTTCCTACAACTAACATTTAGAATCTTGGAAAGAACTCTTAGAAATCACCTAGATTAACAATTACTCAAACCTGACTGCATATTCATATTACCAATAAACAGTACCTGAAATTTTTTAAATAACTGCCCCATAGCAGGAGCTTTTTATTTGTAAGGTCTGGCAGGAAAACCAGGAATCTGGTTTAACAAATGACTCAGGTGATTCTGATGCCCTTACTCTGAGAGTCAACATTTGTGAACACTGCTTGGTTCAACTACCTCTACCCCCATAATTGAGTCAGCTTCTATTACATTTTACTTGGTAGTTAAGGTACCTTATTTCTCTCAATTACCACCATGGAATATTCATTGTAAATGCCCCTGGTGGTCAGCACTGGACTATAGGTTCCAGAAGATTCCTGCTCTTTAGAATATTATATATATATATATATATATATATATATATATATATATATATATATATATATATATATAAAAGCCTAAGCGACCGTTACCACCAGTTGACCAGAATGACCGGTCACTATGACACACACCAGGGGGCAGATGCTCAACACAGGAGCTGCCCCTGGTGGTCAGTGCACTCCTACAGCAGGAGTGCAGCTCAGCCAGAAGCCAGGCTCATGGCTGGTGAGCACAGCTCAGGAGCCTCTCTTTCCTCCATGGCAGTGCTACAGAGCAGCTATGGAGCGGCAGCAGCACAGTGGGACCAGGATGAGTGGGAGCGATGGGGCACACAAGCCCTGGCTCAGGTCTGCCCCTCCTGCACTGCTACATACCCCAAGGAGTCCCGGATGAAAGAGGGTGCAGGCCAGGCTGAGGGACACCCCACCTGTGCATGAATTCATGCTCCGGGCCTCTAATATAATATATAATGCTGAGGTTATTTCCTTTGAAAATTATTTCCAAAGTGAAATTTACCATTGCATATACTTAATTTGTTCCATTAATTATTTTCAATGTGTTTTGGGATGTATCTGTTTATAGTGTCTAAATATATGATTTCCTACTTTATTTAAAAAGTCAGGACCAGTTAACAAGATGTAAAGGAACTCAAATGGTGATACTTTGGCACACAGAGTCTCCACAGAGTTCACATACAACATACTTTGGGCCTTCCATCTATGTATGGCTTTGAGGACACAGCAGGAACCACAAGGGGGTCTTGAGTATACAGGGAACTACAAATGAGAAAATTGGTTAAGAATTTCAAAAAGAGATAATCAGAAAGACTCAGCAAGTAAATAAAAATCCTCAAATAAACTAATGTAACAATATTAGTGCTAGTATCTTTAGTTACTGTATGTATACATCAAAGAAAGAATCAGAGTTGTCATCTTGTACTTGAAAAAGGTCAAAGTGTTTAAATTCTAGATAGGAAGAAGATTATTTTTTTTCAAATCCTGTTAGGCTTATTGTGTCTAATACAGTTTTTTTCTCTGTTGTGCGTTTATTTCAAAATGGTCATATTAAAGCATCTTCCCTAGTTATTATTCCTTTCTCAAACTTAGACAAGCTATTTAGAGCTATTAATTTTCAGGTTTTGCCCTCAGACATGATTAATAATGGATGGCTCTTTCAGCCTTAAAATTCTTATTCTAAAATCATAGAATTTCTCTAGCCTGATCAGGCTTAAATTGTGCAGCCTTACAATTAAGTTTTTGGGAGGTTTTGTTTATTTGCTACTTGGTTTAGATTTTGTATTTAGCACTGCAGCTCTATTTGGAATCCTCTTTGAAGTCTTTTAACATTCCGATGACTATATAATTAATATCCATTTTGTAAAACAACTAATGCAGGTCCATTTAAGGTTTGTCTCTTATATGCCCCAACTGCTATATAAATGTGTTCAAACATTATTTCAAATATAATAGTTTGCATAATAATATTTCCGCTTATTTAATCTATATATGGAATTATCTTTTATATTAGGTGCTTTGTGACTGAAAATTCAGTCTGATAGCATTTTCTTGGAATGAAGAGAGAAGGAAACTAATATTTCAGTACCTGCTATGTGTCAGACATGCATTAACTCATTTAATTTTCACAGAAACCCTATGGGATAAGTATCATTATCCCCATTTCATAAATGAACTACACTTTAAAGATTTAGTAACCTAATCAATGTCACATAGTCTAGAAATGTAGAGACAAATATTCAGACTCAGAGCTTGCTGGCTTCTAGTATTTTGTGATCTTGGAAACATTTGTTAGTGTTTTTTGTGGTTTTGAAAATGTATTACAGATTCTGACCAAAATAAAAAATGTGAGCCTTAAAATGTTATATGTGGATAAAATAAGTGACTGTTACAAAATTTATTGGAAAGGAATCATGTGGGCTGAGAGTACAAATCAATAAATGCAACACCAATAATTTCAGAATTTCCCAAGGGACACAAACTGAAAGACAAATATCATTCTTGCAAAGCAGCCTACATGATATTCTCATAGTTTGGTCTTGGAGTTAGAAATCAAAGTATTCTGTCTCTTAAGGTAGCAAGTCAGTAATGACAAGCAAAGGCAACACAACCTGGAATTTCAGCAAAAGGATAGTAAGCCTTTTAAGCTCTTTACTAGTCATTATAATGATTTAATGTTCCAGATTGTTTAGTTTCCACTAGGCTCCATTTTTAAAAATTCTATTTAATAGTAATATATCTCTTCTTCATTATTGTCTCTCTAACTAGTGTTTAATAATAATGCTTAATTATATTTAATAATAATTCATTGTTTATTATTATAAAAATATATCTATTGTTTATTATTACCATGGCCTACCAAGAGATGTATGGCATTGTGTTCAATGAGTGAGAAATCCCTGGCAATTATTCTGTTTGTTCTTCGCTCCTCTTAACTCCTTATTTTCATGTTTCCTACTATTTGTATGAACTGCATAGAACTTAGTTGAGTACTGGTGAGTAACTAGTGCTAAAAAGTAAAGTGTTGACTTTTTGATGCCTTTATTTCTGCTCTTTAGGGTAAATGTGGGTAGGTCACCTGATTAGTATCTTGGTTGTATTAGTAAGATATTAGCAATCCTGTCTTCCTTTGTGGCTTAAATGATGAACACATTGGTTCAATGTCTTCTAAATTTGCTCAAATAACAAAAAGTGTCCTTATCTTCCTTAAGCACTTTCCTCTTATGCTTTGTGCATCATGATTTGAAAATAGCATGAATATTTTATGAGAGTATTATGCCTAATATTTTACTGTGTGCAACAGGAACATTGATAACTAACAAAGAGCCATGTTCTCTAGCTTTTAATCGCAGGTCTCACGTTCTATCTTCTAGGATTGCACGAATCCACGGTACTTAGCTGCTGGTTCTTCTAATGCTGTCAAGCTCAGCAGGTTTTTTGATAAGGTAATGGCCTCAATTAAGTTATTTTTAAACCTAATTTATACATTATAAGAGTTTAACTTTTTTTGTTGAATGCTTTGTCCTTTTATGCCTTCATCCTGAATGTCACAGGATATGTGACATGTCTGAATAATACTTGTTTTGATCTCTCTTATCTGTTGGTATAATTGCTCAAGACCTGCTGACGTATTTAACTATCACCAGTGTTCTCTAGCAAAGGATGAAAGCTACTGAATTTAAATAGTTTTTTTAAAATAAAATACCTAATTCCTCTTCTTAAAACAATTTATGTTTCCCTAGTTTCTATCTTTTTGTACTTATTCCCCCCTAAGCCCTACAAAAGACAATGAACTGAGGAGATTCTACTTAGGTAAAGCCCTGAGTTCATTTTGCTCTCCCAGCTATTAATAGTTCTTACTAATACTTTTAAGATAATGTCATCTTCTTAATTCCCTATTGTTTCCCTATCGGAAACTTTTGTATTAAAGTTATGGACTCTTGCTAGAATCATCTTATTGTAGAATGAAAACGCAAAATGACTCAGCATGCTAGTAAATTAGAGCACTGTTTGTCTTTCCTTCACAAATCCTAACAGCTGCATTGCACGTAGTATTGACCGAGCTTAAGTTGCTTGCCCAATACGGACATTGTGTAGTCAACTAAAATAGGATGTATTTCTGTATGCTATTGAAAAAGATTAATTGCTGTATTATATTTCCTTTTAGGTGTAATCTTCCAAGAAACATTTCTCTCATAGATCTTCTTTATGAATCATTTTTCTTTTAGCAATTTAGGGATTTAACATTTGGCCCTTTAGCCAATATGTCAGCAGAGATAAAGCCCCACATCCTCCCTATTTAATGAGATCATGGGGAAATTTTTGCTTCATTGCAGAACTTCCCAACTGGTGTGTCGCAAATAGGGTACAGCTGTACTGAGATATTGATCCACTCATTTCTCTGAGCAGCAGAGCCCCTCAGGCTGGGTGGTTGGCAACCTCTTCCATTTACCCCGGTGTGCTGTACAAATATTAGCATTTCCTAAATGGGATGCACTGCAAGGAACCACATTTTCTGTTCACATTGTTTTCAAACTTAAAATGTAAGAACTTTCATTTGGTTTAGATCCCTGATCCCATCTGTACAAAATGCTATCCCCTCAGAGCAACATCTTATAGATCTGTGTCTGCATGGAAAGATCCCACAATATTCTATTTAAATTTTTAAATAATTTTATAATTTTATAATTGAGATATTAAATGTAATAAGTTATATCTTAGAGAAACAATGGGTTATAGACTAGTGGGACCCACGTTGTCTGTCAAGGTTTTATTCTAAAAACATCAGAGGTAACTTGATAAGTTTTAAAGAAGAGAGCAAGATTTAGTAAGAAGACATTGCAAGTTGAGGATAGGGAGTTATGAGCAAAAGCCTAAATCACAATCAAATGTATGTGGGTTGGAGGTTGGCCAGACCTCCAGACTGAGGTGGTTGCCAGAAACCAAGGGGGATATGGCTGCTAAATTTTACCAAGTTTTCCATACATTGTATGTGTGAGAATTTTACCCCCATTGATTTGAGGGAGAAGGGGAGAGAGAGAAACATTTATGTGAGAAAGAAACATCCATTGGTTGCCTCCTGTACCTGCCTTGACTAGGGATCAAACCTGCAACCCTGTGGTGCACAGACTACCCTCCAACCAACTGAGCCACACTGGTGAGGGCCCCAATAATTTAATGTAAAGGTTTATTTTCCAAGAGGGAATCTGACTCCTCCTCCTCCTGCAAACTCCCTTGGCTAGTAGTAATTCTTCCCCACTCTAGAATGATAGGATTTTCTTGTGCTGCCCCAGAGAAAGGAAAGAGAATCAGTCCCTTCTTGCTATCTCTAAGACCAAGTATTTCGAGATGTATATTGATCATGACCAGCTTTCCTACCATGGGGGCCAATGAATGCAACCTTACTCCGGGTCTCTTGTAACTATCAGTGACTCAGCCATAGTCTCTAAGATAGGAAAATCCAGCTATTTTGCCTGACAGGCCAGTTAGAGTAAGCTGAGACAGGCTTGGAAGAAGGTGCTCAGCAATGATTCAGAGAAATTAGTATTTTCATAATTCTAGATTCCAGGGTCTTAATCTCTAGCTAATCTATATCCTTATTGATTACATTTTCTTAATCACAACAGCTTTGGCTAAAGAAAACAATACTGCCTATGCAATCATTTAGTTTCTCAAGTGTTAGAACAGAATTTGTTATTTTTTAAAATGTGTTTCATAATCTGAAAACGTGGTGCTCCTTAAACTCACCAGTTAGGGCATGTGTGAGGGTTTCTTATCATAGAAGTGATGGATTTGTGCAGATACCCCCACTGCTTTACTGTGTTTCTCCTGTTAATCAAATACAGAGGTTCTGAAACTGCTGAATTATGGGGTGCAGAGTAAGTCTACAAAAAGAAGCTAATTGACACTGTTGATGTTGTGTCACCTGTCTCCATGGAGGCTCTATAGAATTTATTACTGTGTTTACAAGAGGGATGTGGTGGTTTGTTGCATTACACAGACTCCTCTTTAAGGAATAGCTGCACTATTGTAAGCAAGTGCTTTGCATTTTTCTTATGAATACTGTTTGGTACCTTTTAGAATTGATTGCTGGAAAGCTTAGAGCCAAATTTCCTCTTATATACTAAAAATTGCATGGGATCATATGTCATTCTCTGATTAATCATTTTTTTTCATTTATTTTTTTAATCTATTAGTACTTTTGGAATGAGGCAAGCTCTTAGGAAATAATCCTACAATCCTGATCCCATTAGCACCAGATTCAATTCACTGTACCAGATGTCTGTAGCTATTGAAAAGACTCTTAATTTGGATATATGCCTTTTAGTCCCCTGAATGGCCATTACAGTTAGCCACTTTTTCCAGATCTGTGTATTAAAGTCTTAAAATCTTTGTTTTTCACAGGTCATAGAAAAAAGATACTTTTTAAGAGACAGTAATCAGGTCAGTATCTATCTTTTCTTTATAAAATGAGTTCTTAAATTTGTAGAGAGGTAATTTCCAAATTTATTTTCAGAAATGGTTAAAAAAAAAAAATAGGGGAAGTCCCTTTGTAAGCACAAACAACTAATTTTTTTCCTGTTAACCTCCCCCCCCAAAAAATAATAATAATAATAACAATAAGATCAAGGGAAAGTAAGAGTCCAAGAATGAATGAATGAATGAATGAATGAATGAAATCCAGGGATAAGGTTACATTATAAAATAATAAAATAAAATTGTTTCCTTGAGACACCAAAGATATATATCCAAAGTCTATTACAAGCAAATCATTCATGTAAAGTCCAACAGGGGAATATTCTGAGGTTCACCTTCATCCTCTCTGATTTTGATGACACTGTAGGCAATTTGTTGGCAAGTGTTTTCCATTTTGGGAAAATGTATTTTTATTATTTAGTCTGCTGTGGTTTTCTGAGTAAAACCACAGACTGGTGACACTCTCAGGAACAATAGACTGACATTTTAAAGGAAAAAATTTAAAGGCTATTAACATTTGAACTCTGCCTACTTGAAACTTATTGTGATTATCTTTCTTGCCTACAGATTCCAGGCCTTCCTGATCGAAAGAGGTTTTGGGGAGGAACATTAAAGGGCCTTCATTATGACTGAATTGTGCATCCTTTGGAAGAGTGAGAAAGCAGTGGCAATTTTTCACAGCATTCTTCTTGCTGTGTCAATTATTAATGTGCCAGCCTTTTAATGAAATCATCTTAAAATGCCACCCTTCACCCTCACCCTTTAATGGAAAACTAAAAGGAACTGACAGTGCGGGAGATCTGAACTTTGTCCCCATTCTCTCTGTTCCTCACCTTTCTGTCCCTGTTTATAGATTATGTAAAAGCCTTATGGAAATACGAGATGTTGTCAAAATGATGCAGCAAATGAGCTGTGACAGAGTGCTGCAGAGAAAATTTACTCCTGTCTAGAACTGGAGCGTTTTTTTGGGTCTGTAATTTTCCCACACGTCTTGCTGAAGGCTTAATTAAGTACTTTAAAAATGTATCTCTATTGTTTTACCTTCTGGAGGGGAAAGGTTATGTTAACCAGCCCTGAATTGTCTACCCCAAACAATCTTCATGATTTTCAAAGAAGCAAAATCGTGTTGTTTAATTATCTCCACCCTCATCACACACAAGGATGCCTAATAATAGCAATCCTTGTTCCCTCCCCTCTCCTTTGCAAATGGTTCAGTGGCTGGAAGAGGAGGACTAATGGCTGGAGTTAAATATAAATAGATTAATAATACATAGAGAAGGGCAGTACCAGAAAAGAAGAATTCTGCAAGAAATTGACAGCTCACTAAATCCTTCACTGTTTAGGTTAAAGCTGTCCGCACAATCACTGTTGTCTGTTTGGAAATGGTTAGGGTGAAATCTAAAACCTGCACAAAGGCAGTAAGAAAGATTTGTAGCCTCTTCAGGTTTGCTTGTTTTTTAAAGGAAAAGTGAACTCCTGAAATGTCTCTTAACTATAGTCTATAAACTAAGAATATTATTCTTTGTGTCAATAATGTATTTATGGAGAGAAGTAAAAATAAGTTCCATAGCAACACATTTACATGAATTAGAGATTAGAATTCTTGGGTTTCATAAGCCAGAATTTTGGTGTGTGTATATGCATAATTGTTATTTTTTTTACCCATCTTTTTTACTTCTTTAATTCTCTCTGCTCTGGTTGTTGTTAAATATATAACCCTCATTTCCAAAAACTGTAATTTGCTGTCTTATTCAACAATACCTTTTCACCCGCATCCTGTCTCTGACTCTGCTGTGGGTTTCTGCACTCCTGATTTTGCTCTACATTAAAATATAATAATAATATTAATAACATAGTTTCAGCTTCTCATTTTAAAACTAGGGGGGAAAACAATAAATTCACTTTCTACTCCATTTTAATTACATTTCAGAAGTGCTTTGGAAACCAAGGTATGCTGAGAGAGAATGCTAAAATAAGAATATTAGAGAGTACTTTTAGAAAGACAGTCTTTAGAATTTGCAAAAGGATGGTTAAAGTACTCTCCATGAGCTAGAATATTCTCCAGTCTTTCTTTGCATCCTCCCCCACAAGACTTTGTCCTGATTTCTTTTTTGACATAAAGGAGAGCTGTGCATATCAGGATCTGTATGTGGAATTTGGCCCAAGTGTGTGTGACCCAGACTGTGCAATTAGAAAGTAGAAACCAAATGAATACATAAAGACCTAAACCAACTAACAAATAAATCAATAACCCTTTCTTTCACCTTCTCTCCTCTTCTTTCTTTCCCTAATTAAAAAAAAAAAATCTATCCCAGTTTCTTTATGTTCTTTCTAATGAAAAAATAGTAACCCATCACTGGTGACTTTAGGGTCAGCCTTGAAAAACTGACATTACTCCTCAACACCATTTCTTTTTACTGTCAGGCTTGACTCTCTGAATTACAGTTCTCTAAGAAAAAAACAAAATTTGCAATAGCCTAAGTTTGTTGTAAGTATGAGTAGCAACAAATAAGGTTGTTTGCCAAAATCACTGTTATTAGCCAGAGTTTTTCAAAAAGAATGCTTTGAAGCATTATAATTTTTGCTTTCTGAGATCTGCTCATAAAAATTGCTCTTAAATAATAAGTGTAAATACCAAAATACTTCCTAAAGCATGTTAATTAAATCTTTAATTTTCTTATTTTCTAATGGAACAAATTGGTAGCAAAAGAGAAAGGCTTTTTTTTTTTTCCTGTTATGATTTAGCTGTCTAGTTAATGTCCTTACTCATTGTGGAGGCAACCAGATGTGCAGGCACATGGCCAGTCATCTGTCCCTCAGATGGTAGGACCCTTACTTGGAAAGGATTTGGGTTGGTCCTTCCTCTTAGTGCTGTAGAAGAGGTGCTCCCAAAAGGTTTGATCCATATCAGCTTTATCTTGGGTTCTCAGAAGTCCCTGAAATTGGAACACCCATGATATAATCCAAATGCATTGACATTCCTGCTTTCCTGTGCATTGTGAAAATGGACTGCTTGTGCTGGGGCATTGGACTGGAATTAGAGCTTCTAATTGCTGCCATAATCAGAATGTTTTCAGTCTTTGTTTCAATAATGTGGGCTGTGCCCTGGCTGGTTTGGCTCAGTGGATAGAGTATTGGCTTGCAGACTAAAGGGCCTCAGGTTCAATTCTAGTCAAGGGCACATGCCCAGGTTGCAGGCTCAATTCCCAGTAGGGGTGTGCAGAAGGCAGCCAATCAATGATTGTCTCTCATCATTGATGGTTCTATATCTCTCTCCCTCTGCCTTCCTCTCTGAAATCAATAAAAATATATTTTAAAAATAATAATAATGTGGACTGTAATACCCGTGCATGAGTGTTTAATAAATCTTGGTTTAATTGAAATTTTTAAAACATAGGTAGCATCTGTTTGAAGAAGATTGAAGGTCTAACAGGATGTCTGCATTGATTTAATATCTGTTAAAATTCAAAGAACGATTCTGTTTTGGAGAAAGCAGGAGAAGGAAATAAAAAATTGATTTATCTGTAGTCCCAAGACTGAGTTAAATCACTGTGTAGGAAAGGAAGGGTCCCAGGAAACCTAGCCCTGGAAGAACCCTGAGCCTCAATATTCCACAATATGCCTGATTCAAAATTGGAACCTGGGGCCTGCCTGGGCTGCTCCACAGAGTAGGAAGGGGATCTGACTTCCAGTTACAATTCATCACCTCCATTTAAGGACTTAAAGCAATGGCTTTTAAACTCAAAAGTTCGTAAAAATCCTCTCAGTGTTTGTTTAAAATGCAAATTCCAGGAATTACCTGACCCCTGTCTCCCAGTTCAATGTATACAGGATAGGGCTAGGATTTTGTACAGTTGGCCCTTAAACAACACAGATTTGAATTGCTTGGGTCTATTTATACTCAGATTTATTTTTCAACCAACAGCACCACATTTATTTTCTCAGCAGGCTAATTGCTAAGCTTTACCAAGGTCATCTATACTAATAAAATGGTAATATGCTAATTAGACCAGATGTCTTCTGGGTATCCTTCTGGACAAAGCCACGGTGGTGGGTGGCCAAGACAGAGCAGTTAGGGGCGATTAGGCCAGCAGGGGAGGGTAGTTAGGGGCATCAGTCAGGCAGGGGAGGGCAGTTAGGGGCGATTAAGGATGGTTAGTTAAGGATGATCAGGCCAGCAGGCAGAGGCAGGGGTGATCAGGCAGGCAGGTGAGTGGTTAGGAGCCAGTGGTCCCAGATTGTGAGAGGAATGTCCAACTGCTGGTGTAGTTGGACATCCACCAGCAGTCGGACATCCACCAAGGGGTCCTGGATTGGAGAGAATGCAGGCTGGGCTAAAGGATCTCTCTCAGTACCCCCCTGTGCATGAATTTTATGCACTGGGCCTCTAGTCTACCATGTTTCCCCGAAAATAAGACATCCTCCAAAAATAAGACATAGCACATGGAAAAGTAAGACATCCCCTGAAAATAAGACCTAGCACATCTTTGGGAGCAAAAATTAATATAAGACACTATCTTATTTTCGGGGAAACGGTGTGTGTGTGTGTGTGTGTGTGTGTGTGTGTGTGTGTGTGTGTATATATATATAAATATATATATATATACACCTATATAAAAGCCTAAGTGACCATTACTACCAAACGACCGGTCAACCAGTAACTATGACATGCACTGACCACCAGATGCTCAATGTAGGAGCTGCCTCCTAGTGGTCAGTGCACTCGCACAGCCAACCTCCTGCAGTCCCTCCCCTGAGCCAGCCAACCTCCCACAGTTCCTCCCCATAGCCAGCCAAGCTTCTATCCCTTCCCATCTCCCCAGCTGGCCATCCCCAATCGCCCTGATAGGAACTGGGCAAGACAGCCCGATCAGCCCTGATCACCGGCCAGGCTGAGGGACCCCACCCATGCATGAATTGTGCACCGGGTCTTTAATCAATAAATAATGGAGAAGACTGAAACCCCCAAACTACAACGAAGGTGTAAGGTCTTGCTCAGTGCCATAAAGTACATCAAGTAATCTATCAGTTCTTTATTGGAGACATCTGTCCTAGAGTCCTCCATCCTGTAAGTCCATTATGGAGTGATTACCCTGTAAGCTTTCCTTTGCATTACCCTGTACAATCCCCAGCTTCCTGCAGGTGACATTTTCCAGTTTTTTTGGTGTGGATTGGTGGTCTTCCAACTGGGATGAACTCGGATACCCCTCCAGGAGGTACATGAGCACAGATAGTTTTACAGGAGTCATTTATCAGGCCATCACTTCCCCTCTGTTCTTAAAAATTGAAATGCTTGTAAACATACCTCAATGCTAGTTCTTATTTTCTGCCTCTACTTTCATTGTCCCCACTATGGAAAAGGAGCATCTTACAAGTAATACCATAGAAACATGGTATATTTTCCCAAGCTGTACATGTTTTCAGGATGCCAACAAAAGGACAATTCTAGATATTAGTTTTACTTAAGAAAGGTCTTTTGTCCACTTCTTACAATTTTTTTTTTTTAATGCCGAGCTCTTAAGGAAGAGTTCCAGAGAACAAAGCAATGAACTTTGGTAAGAAATATCCAAGACTGTGACACATTCTTTCATGGCATGTCTTCTTATTTAGACTGTCAAAATAACATTTTTAGC